AGAACGACATAAATAGACTGGGTCTACCTATACTTACTGGAAAAAGTTCAAAATATAAAAAGCCTTAGTTGAGAAATACTTAGAAAACTCTCATATACAGCTATGGGATGTAGATTTGTGATTTGTTTACATAGAGGGAAAAGACTCTTCATTTTATATGTCAACAGGATTGTTGTACACTTTGTATCTCAATGGCAGCTTACTCTCCCTCCTCCCCTTCTAGTCTATCCACATCTCTCCTCCCTAGCCTCGCTTTCTCATCAGAAAAGGGGAGGTCACCCACGGACATCAACCAGCCTTGGAGTATCAAACTGCAGCAGGTTTAGGCCCATCTTCTACTATTGAGCCTAGACAAGGCAGCCCAGTTAGGGGAAAAAGATCCAAAGGCAGGCAACAGAGTCAGAGACAGTCCCTGCTCTTGCTTTAAGAGTCTCATATGAATTCCAAGCTGTATAGTAGCAGAGCAAGGAGCTGCCTGGCCATATGATCACCCTGTCTCTGGGCAATGATGGAGGCCATTGGCATCCACAGGGCCTTTGGTGGTAACATGGATTACTGACATCAACACAGGCCTGGGCTGCAGTAGGACTTCAATCCAGACATGTCCCTTAGTGGCAACTCAGACCTGGATATCACCATGATCTCAGATGGCAGTGTAGGCAACAGACAGCAACATGGTTTCAGGCTAAGGCACAGACCACAGGCACAGACATCTGCATGGTGTTAGGTGGTTACATGGACCATGGATATAGAACCAGCCTTTGGTCAAACCAGGACTACTGAGCACACATGACTCTCAGCATCATCATGGAGCATAGAGGTCCTTCAAGGAGGTCCAATACAGAAAGCGAACTGTTCCTCATCTCAGGCCTCCACTGTATAACACTATTCATATGAAATGTTGGAACAAGGCACCTTTATATGGACTAGTGGTTTCAGACTTGTGGGTAGTAAAAGCATGAATTCTTAACTGGTAAGGAATTTGAAAAGCATAATGAAAACTTCTAGCAAATACGTAGTACTGGTAGTTGCCAAACAAGAGGATGTACAGAAAGCCATTGAGTTCAACTATCTATAATCATGAGATTTATCTCATCTGAGTGTTGTTATACGAGTGGGAAGTCTACTACATAAAAAAATTTAAACATTACCTATATGTGTGTGTTAAGAAAAATCTCAAAATTTTGCAGTGTGAATTTCCTTATTTATCCTTTTTAAAACATCTGCTTTGAGCTACATAGTTCAGGCCATACTCTTTTGGTAAAGGTGAACTTACATTTTATGAAGAAATGCCATTAGTAGGAAGGAAAGAATCTTTAACATTAAAATGTGGAAATAATTGCTATAGCGACAATAGCAGATGATAATACTGCTATGCAAAACATATTTCAAAAAATTTTAAGAACAATAAGCCCGAGTTCCTGTAATGATCTGTTCTAGTAAAGTTGGCATTTTAGAGAGTTATCCATAAGTTAAAGGCAGATACATTAAGAGAACACACTGAAAATATATGCGAGGCATTTCTATTAGATAACGGGGAGAAAGATTTCTTGGTATTGAATGTTTAAATAGTTCATAACATCAAATGTATTGCATATTTTACTTAGATTTTATTTTATAAAAACTTTAGTTTTTTAAAGGAGATGTTAGGGAAACGAGGTCATAGCATACATGTTTTACATGAATTTTTTGAGAAGTTGAAATGCATCTCCAGCTAAGAAGGAAATATACAGGAACATAAAAGTTTTCCTCCTTGAGATGGAGTCTCCCCATGTATCTAGGCAGTGGTTTTTGTGATTCCTGGGAACAAGGTTATCCAGACATCTTCTTTTTCAGCTGTAGGGCCTACTTAGTAAGAGCAGGCCACTGAGTGTATTTTGCATCCATATCTTACCTCAATCGCCTCTCTGTTTTGCTATATGGGAATGGGCTTTAAGGTTTCAAAAGCAAATGATATTTTCAATCTCTCTCTCTTTCTCTCTCCCTCATGGTTTTGACTCAGGGTATAAATTCTCAGCTTCTGTTCCCACACCATGCCTTCTTGCTTGCTGCCATGTTCTCTGCCATGACAGCCATGGACTTTGCTCTTACAGCATACAAGGGACCAACCTGTGGCCAATATATACCAGTTTCAAAGCAGAGAAGAAAGAGACACAGCTTTAGTAGGTTTTTCATTTCTCCTGAACAGATTCTTACAGCCTGCTGTGTTAGTGCCAAATACCTGATGATCAGAGATGACTCAGAGAAAAGACCAGTCTCTAATGAATTTATAATCTACTCAGGCAGGGACAAAGGACAGTGTGTATGAAACAATCCTGAAACAGATCCAAAGTAAGCTCTTCCCACATTGGCAACATACCAGATATCCAGGCATGGGGGCACATTTAATCCCAGCATTTGGGAGGTAGGGGCAGGGAGATCTCTGTGAATGTGTAGCCAGCCTGGTCTTCAATGAGAATTCCATGACAGCCAAGACTGTTGCACAGAGAACTGTGTCTCAAAAACAGATGAACAAAGAAACAACCAAACAAAACAACACACACAGACACACACAGACACACAAACATACACATACATACACACACACACACACTCACACAAGACAACATCTGATTATGCAGCTTTTGTAGGCCTGTAATTCACTTTGTAGACAAGGTTAACCTCAAATTCATAGAGGTTTACCTGCCAATAAAAATGTACTCAAAATGTTCCAAAAGCATGGTTTGATTATTTTATTGGGTTCCAAATTGGTCAAATATCCTGTCATGATAAAAAGCTAGCATTGAACAAATTAGGACCACAAGGGTCTCACATACCTCAACATAACAAGTGCTATATACAACATTTTCATAAACATTATATCAAGTAGAAAACCCTTGAAACCATTTTTTTTTTAAACAGGGCCAGGGGTGCTCAGTCTTCATTCTTATTTGATATATTTGTCAGGGTCTCAGCTAAAGCAGTAAGAAAAGAGAAAGAAATAAACAGGAATATTATCAGGAAATAAAACAGCCAATGCATTCCTATTTGATGATAGCTTGATCATTAATTTTAAAGGCCAGAGAGACTCCAGCTGAAAACTCTCCAGGTCGCATCAAGGGAAACAATCATCAAGTACGGAGACAGCACACAGGCTGAGAGGTCTTCAACACATAAAATCAACCATGGGATTGATATCTAGACCTTAAGAGGATATTTAATGTAAACATGAAACATCAAAAGTAATTCGATTGAATGGGCTAGCAAATTGAGCAGATATTTCTCACAGGCAAAAATTATAAAGTTCAAGAGATTTTTTTTGAAAAATTGTTCAAAATTTTTAGTCGTTAGAGAAATGCAAAATAGACCTGCTTTGAGATCCTGTTTCATCGCAGTCAGAATGGCTATCACCAGGAAAACAAGTGACAAGAACAAAGTGTGCCCAGAATATTGGGAAAAGGAACCTTTAATCACCATAGGAATGTAATCTTACACAGCCACTATGGAAGTCATCATGGAAATCTAGAGATAGAACTATCATATGACTTATACTACTCTTTGGCATATCTTCCAAGGGATTTAAATTACCACTACTCAGAGACACGGGCATGTCCATGATTATTGTTGTAGTATTTCAGTTCACAACAGATCAGACATGGTACCAGCTTAGAAATCTATCAAGAGATAAATGGACAAAGAAAATGTCATATTCACAAGCAGAACGGAATTTCATTCATCTGTAAAAAAAATCAAATCATGACATTTTCAGGAAAACAGATGGAAATGGAGGTCATTATTTTCATTGAAACAAACGAACAAACAAACAAGTCTCATAGTGTGACTTTCAAGAGTGATCTGAGCACTGCTTTGTGTTTGTCCTTGGATGACCAGCATTCTAGGAATCAGCTGCCTTTGCTGTGTGTACAGGAACGCAGGGTCATCGTTCCTTCTTACAGATAACACTTGCCTCACACAGAAATGTAGCCAAGTGCGATCCTCTGTTCTCTGAGAAAACAGTCATAAGGATATTCCAGTCCCTGCTCCCTCACATATTCCTCGACATTCCTAGAGTTGTGGAAATGCTCAGAAAGGGGTGGTTTAGGGATAAAACAGTACATGTTATTAATTTTAAAACGCAAATGTTGAGAATTTTTCACATGCTTTATCTGTTGACATTATTTTTATCCTTCTTCCTCCTCCAACTTCTCTGGTGTCCCTCATTCCCATTACCCTTCATTTTACAAGCCCTTAGTTTTTACTATTTTATATTTACGCATGCATGTATGTATGGCAAGTCCACTTTTTTGCTTGTATGCATTTGTATTATGTGTTTTCCATCTGGGATGGGATACCTATCCCAGGGTTAGACTATGGAGGAAACTGGTTCTCTCTGTCTCTGTCTGTCTCTCTGTCTCTCTGTCTCTCTGTCTCTCTGTCTCTCTGTCTCTCTCTCTCTCTCTCTCTCTCTCTTGTTGCCTGTAGTTCTTCATGTAGGGTTGGAACCTTGAGATATTTTCCTCATCCACATTGATATATTTACTGTTGTTTTATGTAGGTCTTGTTGAGACAACACTACTGTCATCATCCCTGTCATACAGAGAAGTTAACACCTAGGAACAGATATTTTTGTCTTCCACCGTTACCATCTTTTGGTTCCCTCTTGTGTCATGATTCCTGAGTTTTAGGAGTAGGTGTTGTATTGTAGGTGTATCAGTTGATGGGAGTGTCATGGTGTGTTGCTCTCTGCATTTTGAGCAGCTTCTAGGCAATGTGAATCACACAACCTTCTCTGTTCGCCCTTACTTAAGCAATAAGACTCTACTCGTTTGTTTCTCACCAAGGTGCTTCTTGCACCACTTTTCATCTTGGTGCAGATCCCAAAGGAAGGGACACCAAGAGTTTGGATAGTTGATGGATACAAAGATCCCAGTCACAACACAGTATTGGTAAACTTTCACCTAGTGGACAGAAGTCCAGTGGTCTCTGATTACCCAGGACACAAAGCACACACACTGTCTTCAGCTAAGTGCTTCTTGTCTTTCTTCAAGTTGGGGGACATCCAGAGACAAGATCTTATGCTAGAACAGCCACACATGAGTTTGAGACTTTGAACACCAGGGTGGAGGTTTGATGACCTATTTTCTTCCATTGAGTCTTGGGAAATAGATTCATATCTCTCCTTGCTTCTGTTATGGCTGATAGATTGGGGAAGATTTCCTGGTAGAGTGAATTTTATTAATATTTAAGGTAGTCTAAATCAAATCAGGCATCTCTGATATTTTCTCTGGGCCTCAAAGGGCAATTGACATCTAATATGCATTCCTACAAAAGATTAAATATGTACTTCATAATACATTTTATGTGTATTACATTATCATATATTACTGATGAAAAATAGGTATCATTTATCAAATTAGACCTTTCAAAGTTGAGCATCTGCGTAGAATGGTGAGCTTTTCTAGCCAATGAAAAGAACGTTTCATAAACTTTGAAGGCATGATCCTTCCTCCCTTTTTTTAAATAGCCAGGAGGGTACAATCTTATATGACTTTTATGTTTCATTTATTTCTTATATCTTTCTTTTTCTCAGCATAACTGATACTTTGTATGGAGGTTTACATCATGCTAAACATACAGAGGGAATTGTTGAGAAATCCTGGGAAGAGGAAATGGGGAACTGGGACACAGTGCCATTGCTGAAGGCATTGATAGTTAGTAAATAATCTTCTTCACTACTTGGCCATGATATTTATTACAGAAATCTTCACCTTTGCAGCAAAAGGTAGATATCTTCAAGGCTCCCAAATACACATTTTGAGGCAGACATGCCTTATAGCAGTCCAATTCAGTATGATTGTGGACCCACTTGCCTAGAAGATAGAAGCATTTATATTTAGTGTCCAAAACACACTGGTGTTCACAGTGAGGGAACTTTATCCCCCAGTACCAACCCTGTTTTTCAGAGCAGGAATACATATACCGTTCAGCAAGGATGCCTTCAGACTAGCTCAAACACCTTACCTTTTTGTGAGAATAGGAAGAAATTCCTGGTTCTGCATCCAGGCTTGTATATTGTAGTGCAGTTGCTCTTGCCTGCCAAACAATGTCCACTTTTGTAAGAGTTGCAGACCATGCACACTGTAGCTTGGACTAGGAAAAACAAATGTAAAGAGTGAGAAAATGATTGTAGTGACTAAGAGTGCTAGAGACACAGCATAACCCAGAGGAGTTGTCCTAACAGAACCTCAGGTGCTGATGGTATTACATCAGCTTGTATTCACGACTTCCTTAAGAAGCTAAGGGCTTGACATTACAATGTTGATTGCATAGAAAATAAAGTTATTGGTATGCCTTTGTATACAATGCCATTGTGCAATAAACTATAAAAGTATCTATGTAAGCAAATCTGACACCTAAAGTTCCTTTTTAAATGCATGAGAATAATAATATCATGCAAATAGCACAAAATAGATATGCAGATAAATGGAATAGAATAAAGGCCAAGATACGAGGCTATGTAACTACAAGCACCTGATTTTTGACAACATGCTCAAAAGACCCAGTAGAGATATTATCTTCAATAGATAATGCTGAGAAAACCAGATACCTGTATGTAAAATAATGAGCTAGATCATTATCTCTCACCATATGCAGATATAAACTCCAAATCAAGGAAACCTCAATGTGAAACTCAGAAACTTGTAGAAGAAAAATTAGGATGTACACTCCAAGAAATAGGCATAAGTAACAAGTTCCCGAGTAGAGCTGTAATCCCTAGGGCAATAAGGGCAATGTTCCACAAATGAGACCTAAGCAAGATAAAAAGATAGGAAATTAGGGTGACACAGGGAGAAAAATCAAGGATGGAGAGTAAACTCTTTCCCCAGCATCTGACCTGATTTTACTGCTGAGAATGGCAGAGAGTTCAGACTCCACTGGCACAGAATAATGGTCACAGGTACAATATGTGTTTTCCAAATGCCACCTTTCAAATATAATGAACAAATTGTGTTCCCTTATTGGTAGATGTAAATTCCAAGATGAAAAACTCCTCAACCAAGAGTATTAAAGACAATAATTAGGTTGTGCTTACTCAGGGTGATGTCAACATATAACTAGTATGTTTGCTCCTGGAACTTAAGGGTGCCCCTCACAAATTCACTTCCCAGCTTTTACTGTGAAAAATTCTTTAACTTTATTATGAATTATATTCCTTGTGCAGTGTCACAAAGAAGGAAGGTGGTTTCTTAGCACTATTAGAGACATAACTCCAGAGATGCCTTAATCCCATATGTTCCTATGATAAAGTAAGCTAAACTGCATCTCTCCTTTGAGAAGCCTACACATGCTTAACAGAATGACCCCTTTACCCCAAGAAGAGAATAATGCTAATTACAGTGATCATCATGTACCCTCTTTTTATATGTTTAATAAATTCACCTTTGCTTTAATTTTGGTTTGTCCTGAAATTAATTTCTTCCTTTTAATTTCTTCCCTAGGGACACAAATCCTAGGCCACAGTCTTTGAGGCAGACTGTCAGGTTTGCACATGTGCCCCTAATACTAGAGATACACAGCAGGGAGATTATCAGTTGTACAAAGAATGAAGAGGCAGCCTATAGAACTAATAAAACCTTTGCCAGCTATATAGTGGACAGAGGATTGTTATCTAAAATATAAAAGAAGAAACCTTCAAGAAACCCATTAAGAAAACAAATATCCCAGTTCTTTTTAAATGACACTGAATAGAGATATCTCAATGGGAGGATACAAACAGCTGATAATTATTTTTTTTCTTGGCATGTTAAACATTCCTACCCACCAATAAAATACAAATAAAAACCACTTAATGATTTTATCTTACACTAGCCCCCCCCCCATCCCCCAAAGGGAAGCAAATGACAAGAAAAATTGACATGGATTTGAGCGAAGAGGAGCCTTTTCATTTTCATTGAAGACATGGACTGATTCAGCTACAGTGGAAGTAACTGTAGAGTTCTTTTTTTTTTTTTTAAGTAAAAACAGAAATACCATTTGGCATGACCTTATAACTCCTAGACTACATCCGTCAAAAACTGTATCCACTGTAGAGATACTGGCACATCCATGTTCACTGCTGCTCTGTTTACAATAGCGAGAAAACAAAATCAGCCTAGCTGTCTATAAATTGCTGAGTGAATGACTATGTGGTTTAGACACACCATGGGTTATATTCATTTGCAAGAAAGAAAAATAAAATTTACAGGAAAATAAAAAGATAATTATAATCATTGAAGTAATTCATTCCCAGAAAGAGAAACACTATATGTTCTGTATCTCATGTAGAGCCTAATTGCAGAATTTTCAGATTTGTGTTTTTGATCTACAGTGTTTGTAGAGGCCAGGGGAAATAGAAAGGGACTACTGGGTGAGTGGGCAGGGTCCTTAGAGGGGAGATGGTTATAGCAGAAACACATGCAACATGGAAATAGAGGAGGGAAATACTGGGGGTGGGAAGGTTTAAGCAGGGATTGGAGCAGAGGGATGGGGTTTAACTAAAACTTAACATACTTATGGAAATACTTATGGAAACCCATTACTTTGTAAACAAATGAAAAATATAATTTAAAGGTGGAGTTAAAACACAATGCATGGATGGACAATACTTCCAGAGGAGATAAGTTATCAAAAAGAAAATCCCAGTGCCAATACTTCCAGAGGAGATAAATTATCAAAAAGAAAATCCCAGTGCCAGGTGTGGGCTCTCTCTCTCTCTCTCTCTCTCTCTCTCTCTCTCTCTCTCTCTCTCTCTCTCTCTCTCTCTCTCTCTGAGCTATTGGTTGGGAATTCACAGGGATCCCCCCAAACAACACAGCCCATTGCTACCATTCTTGTTTACCTGTCAAACTGAATGGTAAGACCTTATGCTGAAGATACAACATGCTTTAGGTGTGGGACCTAAAGAAATCACAGTAGAACTGGCATAAAAACTTACTTTATGCTGGCTAATGTTCATAGCACCAGACATTCTCTATAGGATTCTGGGGAATAAAATCCATCAATTGTATTATCCAGTGGTCATCTCTACAGGCTAAAATACTGACATGTCAGGCAAATATGCTCAGTGGAGTAGTAGCGCAATAAAGGTATGCAGGTAACCAACTGGTTTTGATTAGATCTAAAGACTGCTTCACTAGAAATAATCCATACCTGGTACTATAAAGCGGGTCAAAACCCCATGTCTCAAAAGGTCATAGGTCTTAAGGGAGAACCTACTACTGTTTTTAATTCTTTTTTTTTTTTTCTAGATGGATGTGTCAAACTGCCCTCTAGATATTTATGTATATAGCCAAAGATTAGTGTTTCCCTCAGCCTTGGCCAGAGAAGTTTCTCGACAGTGGTCAGCGGTTAATGTTGAGACTCATAACTGAATGAAATATTAAGAATAAGTGATTATTGAGTACTCAGCCGTGTATGGGATATCTATATCGTATCCCACCCCCAAATGTTCAGGGAACATTGTGGAAGAGGAGGTACAAGGAATGTAAGAGGTTGGGAAAGTGCTACGAACACAGTCTCCTGAATATGACCTGCTCAGCGATCTCAAGAACTCACAACAGCTGTGTCTACCAATGTAAGACCTGCATACTATCAAGCCAATTGACTTTCTATCATGGACTCGGGAAGGGATTATGAGGTCTTATTCCTCCCTGAGGAACTATTGTCAATTAATGTACTACAAGTCAGGAAGTCAGTTTTTGGGTTTGTTTTTGTTTTGTTTTTTCCCCAGTGATGTAGCTACTGTTAAGTTGTCTATGTTCCTGTAAAAACCCATGCAAGAAAACCTAATTAAACTCCCTGGGTTATAGAAAAAAAAAGGAGACATGAAGTTTGGAGGAGGACTTGTTGTGAAGAAGTGCTTTAGAGGGAGTGAGAATGCAATAAAAGTAATGGGGAGATACGGTAAAAAATAAAATACGATAAAAGGAAAAACACTTGTGGAAACAGTGGGATGGCTCAACAGGTACCTGCTGTCAAGGTTGATGACGTGAGTTCAATCTCTGAGACCCACTTGGAAAGGCAAGAGAATTGACTCTCAAAAATTATTCTCTGATCTCCACATGTACGACATGATGCGCGCGCATGCGCGCGCACACACACACACACACACACACACACACACACACACACGGTAAATAAATAAATGAAATAAAAAAGAAAATGCTTGAGGAATAGATATTGTCCTGGCAGCACAGAAAGGAGGCACATGCACAGTATTTCATAGCATACACCCTCTCCCCCCAAAGGAATCTGATAATCAAATCTACCTGATCAAAACAATGTACTTGATATGAAAGACTAGCTTAAGATAAGCTCTTCAGTGACCTCTCCCAACATATGACTGTGCTAGGCAGCTTCTGCAAAGAAAGGCATAAGTACTCATTGGCTGTTACTGTGGATTAAAGGAAACAGATTCAAAGACATAGATGTACATGAACACTCAAAATCATTCTTTTTTACTGAGTGGAACCAACACAAGGATCTTCACTTCTTTTGGGTCAGCTTATCTTAGAGTCGTGACCTTGACCTTCCTCTGATCCCCACACACTATGATCACAGTTACTCAGGCCACCATGCCACACTTACTCTCAGCCATCTCTAGTCCCTTTCCTCTCCCTTGTTTTGGCTTCAAAGGACTCACTATTACCTTGGATGAACACAAAAGCAAAAGACCCCAGCAGCAGGAGAAGGAGCAGGAGCTTGCCCATCTCAGTCTGGGCTATCAAAGGACACAGGAGAACAGCCGGTAGTGAATGCTCAGGAGGGTAGATGAGAGCAGGTTTCAGACTCTTCTCTGAGCTGCTCCCAGGATGTGGGCAGGAGCTTCCTTACACACCTGCCTGTGGGTGTTTTGCCAGTATCCAGGCTCAGGAAAGTGTCCCACAGAACCAACTCCTACAGAGCTTCAAAGGGCAAAGGGGAGAGGATGTCCCTGGATCCATCTCATATTACTTCATAGATGAAGCTAAGGTTGTTGATTTCCTAAGTGAGCTCACTAAGGTTGAGTGGAGAGCAAGGTCACAGACCTCTTATTTCTATCTCGTCTTGGCAATGGTGAGGGTAGCAGCAACAATAGGACCTTGCTCTTCATGTTCTGTAAATCAGGATGTGCACTCACAGCCTTTATGCCTCCTTTATAGTAGGTTTTCAGCATAGTAGAAACACAGCTAATGCCATCCAAACAACGTATGTAAAAGGGATAAGTGGCTTACAAAACAGATTTCTCCTCATGTAAAGCATTAGCTTTCTAGCTTCTAAATATCCATATTAACTAAGTTATATTTTTCCCAAACACAGACTTAGCTTCTGATTTACACAGCTGAAATACTCAGAAATTACTTGTTTCCTGAATGCTTGGCCTATGTGTATAGCACACGGGGCACAAAATCCAAGAGTTTCCTAATGTTTAAAATTACATTCCTACTGATGTTATCTAAGGTATCTTTAGTCATATCACCCTGCTTAAAAATAATCATCCCAGAGACACTGCGCATGCCTGTGCATCCAGCCATAGGAAGACGAAAGAGCACAGGGCAAGCTCAGTAGCTGAGCAGACTGGGGCTAGAGACCACCTCAGGTTTCTGGAGCAGTCTTCTGCTCCTTCTGTCATCTTCCCTGTACATGAGCCCTCCATGACGGAGACCATCGTAGCCTTATACTGCATAGTTCAAGAATAGTTAACAGATCATGCAGCTAGTCCTTATTACTGAGTAAGCAAAGGTTAAAAGAAATAAATGAAAAAATGGCTGGCTGGATAGTTGACTGAATGGTGGTCTGTGTGTCGAAAACAATGACTGGAGGCTGACAGCTCAGATCCCAGATGCACCACACTCTGAGAGCTTGGTGCACTTCATGCTTTACAAGCATGGCTATTATACTTGAGAACTCCTTGCTTAGCTTTCCAGCACTAGGATAGTGCTTTACACACAGGAGGAGTCCAAGATGCATGGGTGCTAGGCCACAAGATTTAATAATTCACTCAGCTTCAAACTGTTTCCCTGTGCTGTATCCCTCTATTTACCTGTATGTTCTCTGTATCCCTCTACCATTAACAGTGGAGTTCTATTAGTTCTCCAACTTCCTAACCCTTATTTTCCCCCATTGTAACCGTCCTAGGGAAGAGATGAAGAAAGAGTAAATGAAGAAAACAGGTCTAACAAATTAATGCCTTTTCTAACGAACACGTTGCCCTTGTGAGGCATCAATTTTCTAATCCATTCTCAGTTTTACATACTTAATGTACAACTGCCACTTCACAAACCATGTACTCTCAGGCAGGGTTTCCATATTGGCCCAATACCATATACAGAGAATTTTAAACAAAGAAAAGAATGTTCTAGGTAAACATCTTGATGATATTTATGGTTGTCAAATTTGACATTACTTTCCAAGAATGATGGAGTCTATCACATGGATATTTTTTTCATAATATATCCATTGTTTCAAGGATGCTGGTCATAAAGAAACCTCTACTTAGATATTGATGGGTAACTGCTATACTAAGGAAAGCCTGTACCAGCAATCTCATGATAGAAACATAAATTGCCATGTTTGAAGATCATAATAGGTCTGTGTGTATATTAAGTTTAATAAATCTCTGGGTTGCTTCCTAGATTGTCCTAAAGGTATCTAAGGTTGAATTATCTAAATCCTTGCCTTTAGTCTAAACTTAATCACCAATAAAGGCCCTCTTTCCTCCTACAAAGTATCCCAGACTTTAGTATATTGCATGGCCAGCCTACTCTGAGGTCACCGGACACAATTTCCCCTGCAATACAGGAAGTTTCCCCTCTGATCATTCCAGACAGTGGGTGGCCAGAACCTCCATAAGCTTCCAGGCCCACACTAACCATATCAGGTCTGGTAATGAGCCTTAGCTGAGACCTAACAAGGCTAAGTGTCCTAGCCACAGCATAGAACTTTCTAGACATATTTAAGTTGGAAGCATCATTCTAGCATTTTCAAATCTTGAGATAACTAAGTCATTGGTCATTGAGAATCCACCATAAATGAGTAAGTCCATCTCATGATGTATGTTAATTCTGGAGACTGTGAGAGAAAGTGTGTACATGTGTGCCTGTGTGTGCACACATGTGTGTGTGTAAAATATCAGTGCTGGTGATAAACCACATGTTAAAAAATGTTATATTCATAATAAGTCACAACCCCAAACCGACAGTGGGTTTGGTTAATACTCAGTCACATTCAGAACCTCTTTGGCCAAACCAGCCAGAAATCTACTCTTTCTTTTGGCCTGTATCCTTTTGACTGTTCTTGTAGAGAAGCTAGGATATTTCAGTTCATATGTGGGTTTATGGCCTGGGTGAATGATGCATATTGTCAATTCCGAGACTTTGCAAATTTCTCAGATGACAGTAGTACAAGATTTGTGTTGAAAGATGTAATAAAGTCCAGTAGTATGTCTTCTCTTTATCTCTTTGCTGTCACTACCTAGATTTCAGACACATTCCATAGATAGTCAGGAAGGACCCACTCTGAGGACATTCCTAGAGGCTCATTTGATAAAAAGAATAATCACAGCCATCTCTGATTCTTAAAGAATCATCACAGCCATCTCTGATTCCTAAAGCAGAGATCACAGTCATGGTGTTCTCATCCTACTGCATGACTGGTACGTGACCTGCTCAGTGTCTACAAACCGTTATAAACCAAGGTCTGTTCCTCACTGAGATGCTAAGGCATTAGCCACGGGGAAGCTCAGATGCCTATGTGTTTGCTTGTAGACTCTATGGTTTGTAGAATATTCAGTGAACATTGCCGACCAAATCTATTGTTTTGTGAGTTGGACAGATAGCAGGAACCTCAGTTATAATGCTGTATTGTATAATTCATCAGTCTTTCATTAAAAATCTTGAGGAAGTTAAGTGAAACAGGCTAAAATGTCCTCAATGAACTTTGAAGCCTTCTAGAAAAATTAGTAGTTGGCTAATAGAACTGGGATCTTCATCAATGAAGGGGATTTTTATTTTATTTTTCCCTTTCTAAGATATTTTGTGACTACTTTTGTAATTACTTTTAGGATGATTCTGAACTACATGGTGTAGAATTTTTATTGAGAACATAGTGTAGGTTAATTTCTTGTAGAAAACTGGTGTGTTGTGTCAATTTATTGACAAATTCTCTCAATGCCATAGGTGTCAAAAGCCATAATGAGTTTTAGCAATGACAAATTTTGGATCTTAGAGGGGAAGTAACTTTGAAGTAGAAGCTCTGAACCCCATGACAATACTCTGCCAAATTGAAACCAAGATGGCATTTACAATTCATGCTTAGCTTGCAGCAGCAGTAGCCATGACAGTGCTGGAGAAGAGAAGATTTTGGAGAGTCAGAGGACTGAAGGGGAAATTACAGGTCACTGCAGACTTGTGACTTCAGTTGAGCATTATGGCAATAGGGTCACTAAACAAAGGAGATGAGCTAGACCCTTCCCTGTGGGCAAATACTCAAGAACTGTGTTTGTCCGTAGCTGACTAGTAGTTTATTTTGGCTTCTGTTCTGTGGAAAGGGTTAGGTACTCCAGCAAATATTTTAATAAAGGTTTCTATTTTTTTCACATGTGTTGTTAAATGCTAAACCTAAGACCTCAGTTATGGTACTGGATACATGCACCTGCCCCTAAAATATTGTATCCTATGAACCACGAAGTGGGCCCTCAATAGATAATCGATCATGGGTACTTGATCTTGGACTTTGTATCTGTAAAACTCGTAGAAGTAGATTTTTATTGATTTAATTTTGTTTGATTGTTTGGTTTTGTCTTTTTGAGACAGGGCTTCTCCTTGTATCCCTGGATAACCCAGAACTTGCTCTATAGACCAGGCTAGCTTCAAACACCTAGAGAGCCATCTATCTCTGTCTCTTGAGTGCTAGGATGAAAGGTGTGGTAAGTGAATGCCATAATAGACTTCACCAGTGTCTTGCCTGCTTTTCTTTTTCTTTCCCAGGTCCCCATCTCTCTTCATTGTGCTTCCTCACTCTCTTCTGGGATATGACAACTTTTTAGATTTCCTATGTAGTTTATTATTTGATAATTTTGAGTGATGTGTAAGTAGTACCCCAGGACCCTATAATCTGGATCATTAGCCTGAAGTACTATTTACTGACTTTTTCACCAAATTTAGGTTCAGAACAATTTACTAGGTTGGTAGCCCATTTTGTTGATTCTCCCTTGTTCTGTTAACTTATTTATATTCCTCAAATTACTATATAAGGTCCGGGATTTACACTGGTCATGTGGGCATAGATTAATAAGGAAGTTTTCAAAATATTAAAAATCTCATTAATATTGTCTGTGTCACCATTCCCATCCCTGATTATTTGTGTGTGGGGATGTCAGGTATAAATAGACCCACCTTCACTTAGGTGTAGTTTTAGGTATATCACCACTAATGTTGTTATTATTATTATTATTATTGATATTTCAGCTTTACAGATTTTTCAGCTTTAAAAATAATCTTTGATGGTTTAGGCTATTCTCCACAGTAGCCTTTCAAAGGCCCTTTTCACCAGTTCCAGTTTGAAAGGGAAAAAAGTTAATAAAAATATATAAACTTGACATCCTAGAATATAAATCTAGATTTGTAGATTTTCTCACTTATTCACAAAGAAATTTAACTCAGTGAAAGTCAAGCAAAATTAATTTATTTTTAACATTCTTTACAGAAATGTAAAAATTTCCCCTTCTTTAAAAATTATTCTTGAGAAATATATAACTGAATCCTGTAATGCAGCATACTAGTGACATGCTTCACATTTGAATGCTTACTTTTGAAGAAAAAAGAATGAAGACATCATTCAGAACAATGGGAACTTAACACACCAAAGAAGCAGAGAATACTATGTGTTACGAATATAAGATGTTAGTAAAATCTGGCTAATTGAAAAAAAAAAAACTAGAAGCCAAGTAGCTCATCAGCCAGAGTAACTTAGTGGTTGCGAGGAAGAGATAAATGCAAGACAAGCAAGATTGGTGGTGATTTTCACATATGAACAAAGAAGGGGAAGGAAATGAGGATGAATGGAGAATGTTTGGTGTCTGATGTTGGGTAGGGTAGGAAGGAGTCAGCATCCAAGACAGAGGAAAAAAAAGGATGCTTAGAGGTTGTAAGAGTTGCTCCCTCTGGGGAGGGGGCTATCACTTGAAATGTAAATGAATAAAATGATTAATGAAAACAAAACAAAACAACAACAACAGCAAAGAGTTGCTCCAACTTCAGCAGAGCATGTACGCAGGGGGATCCAGCAGGCGTACAAGGGAAACTGAAGCAGGGGAAGGAACGGGCAATCAATTAGCATATGAGTTCACATTCCTCTATATTTATTACAGAAATTTTGACTTTTGCAACAAAACGTTGAAATTTTCAGATGAAAATAAGTCTCTCTCGAAGCCTTACATGATTTAGAACATTCCAGTACAGTGTGGTTGTAGAAAAACCCACCTAGAAAAGAACATTGATATTTAGTGAAAGAAGTAATACACTATTTGAAATTCAATGTATGAGAATCTTTGGTAGCCACACAAGCCTGCTCTTCCACAAGAAATATCACTTCCTTGCAAGACTTCCTGGTGGATTTCCCTGTTAGCATTACCTCTTGCATTTATACGATAGATATGCCTGGTTCTGCATGCACCGCCTTCCTCCATGGTGCATTTACCCCCACCTTCTATACATTTGCCATTCACAAACACGTTGCAGGTCATGCATATTATTTCTTGGGCTAGAGAAAAAAAACAGATATGATGAGTAAACCCAGGGCTGATTGATCTAGGACCAACATGAATAAGAACAGTTAAGAAATAAAGCATCACAATAAATAATTCTGGTAACCTAGATCTAAAAATATCCTCAGATTGCTTTCATTGGACTTTAATACTATGCAAGTCATTGACCCACGGATCTGAATTCCAATAATCATAAACATCCTTTTTGCACTTTTAATAGTTAAAGTTGTGGTATGTTAAATACTTCACATCAAAGTTGCTTTTAGAAAAGGGAATCAACCGAGTTGGAGAGTAGGCTTAGCGCTTATGAGCAGGTACTGTTTCTGCAGAGGACTCAGCTTGAGTCTCAGCACGCAGGTCAGGGGGCTCTCAACTGCCTGTGACTCCAGATTCAGAGGATCCAATGTCTCTGGATTCTGGGAACACCTGCACTCATGTGCATAAATGCACATGGACATGCACACACACAATTTAAAAATAAATAAAAATACTAAAAATTAAGAAACTAAAGAAAAATATGCTTTTTGTCTGCTGATATGATCAAGATTGGGCGGGGAAGATATAAGGCAATGTGACTAGGCAAGTCAAATCTACATCTCACATTTGAACAACATTGAACTTTAAAATTCTTACTCCTTAAAACCTATTTAAACTCCCATGGTACCAGTTCAGTTTGGTACTATTTGTTTGCTAAGGGCAAAAATCCTGACCTTGACCTCCCTCTTCTCCCAGCACACTACTAACCCAGATATTCATGCCACAATCCCAAATTTACTCTCAGTTATCTTGAGCCCCTGACCTCACCCCTGTTTCAGCCTCTGAAAATTCATTCTTACCTTGAATCAACACAAGAACAAAAGCCCCCAGCAGCAAGAGGAACAGGATTTTGCTCATCTCACTCTGGACTGGCAGAGGACACAGCAGAGCCGCTGACATCAAGTACCCAAGATAGGTCAGGGTAGATGAGAGTAGGCTGCAGACTTCTATGAGCTGCACCCAGGATGTGGGCATGAGCTTCCTGACACACCTATCCATGGGTGTTTTGCAAGTATCCAGGCTCAGGAAAATGTCTCACAGAAGCAGCTTCCTCAGAACTTCAAAGAGCACAGAATGTGCATGGATCTTTCTCATGCTCCTTCACAGGCAATGCTCTGCTGTTCCCATCTCCTTTCTAATATTCCTGAGGTTGGCCTCAGCAGGACCATAGTCATTCTTTCTCTGGTTGGTAATGATCCGAGTACTCATAAGAACAGAGTCTTGTTATGTATGTTCTATAGACCAAGATTTGCACCTATTGTGCCATGTCTCATGCGTCATAGATCTTTAGTCTGCTATAAACACATTAAATATGTATCAAAAACCATCTGAGTAGTATATATGTAGCAGAGGCAATAATGATGCATCCTTTTTTTTAAAGGAATAGCTTCCCATTCCAATCAGCTGTTATTTTACATCTGCCAAGTACAGACCCACAGACAACTGACCAAGCAGATTTACCTAGATACAGTCTCTCAGATTCTGATCCACACTTGATAAAAAAGGTTCAGATAGAACTTCCATGCACACTTCTTCATAGGCTTTTTCTAATGTGTGGTGCACAAAAGACAGATATTCTCCTAATTTTAAAAATTATTCCCTTCTCCTAGCATGTCCTACCAAAATATTCAGCTGTTTAATCATGCTTCATAAAAATAATCAAACCCCCACATGCAAAAGAAATCCATTCAAGTGGAAGAAAAAGGGCAAGAAGCAAGTTTATTAACTAGACAGCCTGGGGCTAGCAGAAATCCTAGGAGGCAGGCATAGTCTTTTGCCCCTCCTGCCTCTAGATAGGCCTTTTAAGACAAAGCCTTTTGGTCAGGATCATTCTGCACAGTGCATACTCAGTGGACAGTGTGAGCACTCAAATGTACTGACAACGCAACATAGACGAATATGAGAAATGATGAACGCAAGGCGGTCTGTGAGAAGAGAGCAGCTGCTGGAAGTTGAGGACCAGCATCCTCCGTGCTGTAAAGGCTGAGAACCTGATACATTCTATGCATCACCAAGTGCAGCTTCCCTACTGGAGAGCTTGCTTCCCACCCTCCCAAGACAAAGATAGTACACAGCAAGCACTGGATGGGCGAGACTTGCATGAGGCGTTGAAGACAATAGTTCTGCAATTTACCAGACACGTCGATTCACAACACTGACACCCACTTACTAGCATATTCAGCACTTCAAAAGCTCTTCACAGCTCTTCAAAACAACTGTAGATTTCCAGGTGTTCTTAAAGTCTTCAACCCTTGATATCTCGTCATAGCTTTCCTAGTTATAGTTATCATTGCTGTGATGAAACACCATGGCCAAAGCAACTTGGAAAGGAAAAGGCTTATCTGCCTTATCCTTCCAAATTACAGTCCATCACTGAAGGAAGGAAGTCAGGATAGTAATTCAAACAGGGAAGGAAGCTGGAGGCAGGATTGCTTCTTACTGGCTTGTTCCATATGGCTTTCCCAGCCTGGCTTCCTTAGAACAAAGGGCCATCAGCTGAGATGTGGCCCTACCCACAATGGATTGGCTTCTCTCTCATGAATCACTAGTTAAGAAAATGTCCTAGAGGCTTCCCTTCAGCTAGATTTTATGAAGATGTGTTTTTGATCGAGGCTTTCTCTTCTTCAGAGACTCTAGCTTGTGTCAAGTTGAAATAAAACTAACCAGTACAATAACAGTGCTGGAAAACGTGGTAAGGAAGGAACAGGAAATAAGGACACAGAATCTATTAAAATTATTGGAACTAAATAAAAGTAAATAAAATTTTTCAGTAGCGTTAACTTTGTGAACATACTCTCTTCTTTGAAAATTTCAAGACTATAATAACAATAGCAATGACTATAATAATAATGATGATGATAAAATAATAAAATGAAATAATAATATAATAATAATAATGTGAATAGGTTAGGAGAAGCTTCTATTGCTGGCATTTCTGGAACCTTAACTGTCTAAGGTCTAGAAACTTGACTGGCTGACTCCTTACTGGCCTGCTCTCAGATTCATATTTAATTACCTTTCTTGTACTGCCCAGGCCCACCTGCTTTAGGAATGCTATCACCCACAGTGGTCTGAGCCCTCAACATTAAATTAGTAATGAAGAAAATGCCCTACTGCTGTCCTCACTGGCAAAACTGATGGAGGCAGTTTTTAAATAGAAGTTTTAAATAGAAGTTCCTAGGTTTCTCATGGTGACAATCATGATTAGCCACCACAAAGACGTAGTGACTGTTAGTGTGAAAGCTCCTGAGAGGACTCAGGTGTTGAGTCCCTAATTCATGTAGTGACTGATATTACAGCTTTGTGCTGTAAAGTTTCAGGAACATTGGTCCTTATGGCTTGGTAGTGCCCCTGAGTTCTTAGGGAATTAGACCCTGTAGTGTCTCATATCTGTTTCACGCTTCTGTGCTCCATTGTTTCTGCTCAAGTTGCTTTCTGGAGCTTGTTAGCTACCTTCTCACTGCGGTTGCTACTACTGCTGCCTCCTTTACAGCTAGTACCACTTCATGCCACTTCTACCAACCTTAAATAGCAGCTCAATTCACTCTACTAATATTAACAAGATAAAGTAGGCAACAATGGTCAAAAGCCCATGGCTAGGGAGATCATAGGCCTTACATTTTGCTATTTGGATAAGTCCTTACACTGCCTTCTAAATATTCATGTTTCTACCCATAGATTGACACTGCTCTAAGCATAGACAGAGGAACTTTTTCATTCAGTCAACATCAGTTAATGTAGAGACTCAGAGATGTCAAAAGCACTGTGGATATGTGACTATTGAGTGCTTACAGGACATGTATCTGCCCTATATCTGTCCAGTTCTTATCCAAGAATCAGGGATTAGCATGAAAGAGGAGGTGGAAAGAAAGTGAGAGCCAAATGATGAGGCTGGGCCAATTAACATCCCATCATGGATGGAGTGGGAAGGGTCTCATGAGACTCTGTTCCTATCTGAGGTGCTACAGAGAGTTAGTGGTTGCTGGAGGAGGGCAAGCCAGGAGCCAGTGGTATGGCTATTGGTAAATCGCAGTTATTCAAGTTAATGACCGCCTCACCCACTATCATGCAAGAAACTCTAATTAAACACAGTGAACCACAAAACAAGGCAAACAACAACAAAACAACAACAAAAACAACAAAAAGACATGAATATCCTAGGACAGTTTTGAGGGGATCTGATATAAAAGAGGATAATGGAAGGAATATTATTATCAAAGCTACACACACACACACACACACGTCCTAATCTGGGTTTCTGCTACTGTGATACATGCCACCCCCTCAAAAAAAAAAAAAAACAAAGAGGGTAAAGGGTACATTTCATCTCTCAACTGTCAGATTATACTCTATTACTAATGGAAGTCAGGGCAGGGACTCTAGGCAGAAACTTGGAAGCAAGAACTAAAACAGAGGTTACAGAGCAGTGGGGCTTACTGTCTTGTTCCTTATGGCCTTGTTGCTTATAAGCCTGATATCTTATACAACCAAGGACTACTTACTTGCTCAGGGGTGACTACCCACAGTGAGCTTGACCATCTATTCAAAGCAGTACCCCATAGAAATTTCTATAGGCTAATATTCTAGAGGCATTTAAGATTCCTTCTTTCTAGATATGTCTAGGCTTATACCAAGTTGGCCCAAACCAACCAACACAACATATGAATGTAATATAAAAGAATATATTTTAAAAGTAAAGTCAAGAATACTGCAGAGATTTTTTAATTAGCATATATTGTGAAACCAGGGCTTCTCAAACTAACATCTCTAGTTGACTACAAAAGTGGCCCAACAGCTAGAATGGAAGGTATGGCAAGAATGTTTGCACCAATTCCTGTGTAAGCTTCACCTGCCTAAGAATCAGATAACTTCCTAGAATGCTGGGAATTGTAGTTCTTGGGAAATAGCAAAGCCTCATGGAAAAGTATGGTGGCCTATAGGTTGTTCTTATAAACCTTTGCAATATGTGGCTTGAGGCAATTTTCAGGTGAGAAATTCCAGGAAATGGTCCTGACCAAAGTCTCTTTCTCAACTGGTATTTACTATTTAATAAAGCTTGCTTCAAATTTGGTCCAAAATGGTGGGTTTGTATTTTTCTGATGATTTAGCAAAACCTGACAAACAACTTCAGCAAAGTGGCTGGATATAAAATTAACTCAAACAAATCAGTAGCCTTCCTCTATTCAAAGGATAAGCAGGCTGAGAAAGAAATTAGGGAACTGATACCCTTCACAATAGTCACAAATAATATAAAATACCTTGATGTGAATCTAACCAAGCAAGTGGAAGATCTGTATGACAAGAACTTCAAGTCTTAAAGAAAGAAATAGAAGAAGACCTCAGAAGATGGAAAGATCTCTCATGCTTATGGATTGGCAGGATTAATATAGTAGAAATGGCCACATTGCTGAAAGCAATTTACAGATCGAATGCAATCCCCATCAAAATTCCAACTCAATTCTTCACAGAGTTAGAAAGAGCAATTTGCAAATTCATTTGGAATAACAATAACCCAGGATAGTGAAAACTATTCTCAACAATAAAAGAACTTCTGGGGGAATCACCATCCCTGACCTCAAGCTGTACTACAGAGCAATAGTGATAAAAACTGTACAGTATTGGTACTGGACAGGCAGGAACATCAGTGGAATAGAATTGAAGACCCAGAATTAAACCCACACACCTATGGTCACTTGATCTTTGACAAAGGAGATAAAACAATCCAGTGGAAAAAAGACAGCATTTTCAATAAGTGGTGCTGATTCAACTGGAGGTCAGCATGTAGAAGAATGAAAATTGATCCATTCTTATCTCCTTCTACAAAGCTCAAGTCCAAGTGGATCAAGGACCTCCATATAAAACCAGATACACTGAAACTAACAGAAAAGAAAGTGGGGAAGAGCCTT